TTCTATCCTTTACCTCCCCCCCCTCACAACTCCAGTTTACTCATCGAGATATCCTCTGTTTCTCCTTCCCAGGTGATCCATGCATTCCTCTGAGGGTCTCCCTGTTTCCTAGCTTCTCTGGAGCTGTGGTTGTAGTCTGGTTATCCTTTGCTTTACATCTAGAATCCACTTATGAGTGAGTACATACCATGTTGTCTTTCTGAGTCTAGGTTATCTCACTCAGGATGGTATTTTTCTAGTTTTATCCACAGCCGTGTGGCAAAACACAGATGATAGAAATAGTTCATTTAAGTCGTAAGAGCTAACTAGCAAGAAGCCTGAGCCATAGATCAAAGAGTTTGTAATTAATATTAAGCCTTGGACGGGTTATTTGTGAACAGGTGGGCAGGAGAGAATAGTCCCTCTATAGCAGAACTATAGTTCTGGTTTCCTAATTTCTTTTTTATTTTAACTTTTTATTGATTCTCTGTTGGCTTCGCATCATGCATTCCAATCCCACTTTCCCCCCAACTCATTCCCTCACACCTGAGCTCTGCCCTTGAAAACTCCCCCACAAAACAAAACAAAACAAAATTAAGACCCAAAATTAGAAACAAACCCCAAATTAGAAACAAACAAAAGTCTTGGAGAGGAGGCTGTCGTGTGATCCAGTGAGTCCTTTAGTCCATAGATCTTTTCTTGTGAGTGTTCCAGGCTTCTCTGGCTTCCTCCTACACTATAGATGGTGGGGCAGGTATCTTTCTCTCACCCTGAACAACACAAGGTGGAAGAAGGAAGTGGACTCAGTTCTTTGCTCACACAACCTCAGGGACAGCTCACTGGACCACCACTAAGAAGGTACTCTCTAATGTACTGCTCAGTCCAGATACAGGACCCACTCACACCGACTGCTGCAGTTGGTGAGGGGCAGGTCCAGCTCCCTCAGTGCTGCAGCCTGTGAAGGGTGAGGTTAATTCTGTGTTAACCTATCCTGTCTTTGGAAGGTAACAGGAGCAACTGACATCAACATAGACAAGGCTGTTGCAGTTCAATGGATACAGACAGGTCCTTTAAAAGCAACCTAGACCTGGAGGACACCAGGGCCCCTAGTGGCAGCATTGGCCACACAGATCTTATTGGCCCCAGCAGAAGCACAGCCCTTGGACACTAACATGGAACTAGATGGAAGCCTAGGCCTCTACCTC